ATCAACCAATCACACAACCAACTGACCACACTGGCACACAAGACATATATAAGCTAAAGAGGAATAGGACAAGAAAATCCCTCTGATGATATTACCTGGTCTGGCAACAAAACAAGCTCAGAGAGCAAACCACTGACAAAATGATCACTGTTCATCCCATGGCCAAAAAAAGGCCGAGTCAAAATATTGCTCTAATTACTGTATCATTGCCCTCATTATTCACACTAGCAAGATTGTCCTTGAGATTGTACAACAACATCTGGTGCTATCCATTGAAAGGGAATTGCCAGATGTTCAAACTGCCTTGATGAAGGGGCATTGCACTTGGGATAATATTGCACATTTGCTTTTAAAATAACAAAAGAACATCTACATCTGCTTTTATCGATTGTGTTGATTGCGAGAAGTTAACCTGGGGGTATCAACGAATTGGGTCAAATTGGTGCAGTTACTATACATAAATCAGGGAGCCACTGTGCGAACACCATATGGAGTTGCTGATTGGTTCAAGATAGAGAAAGGAAGTGCAAGTGAAGATAAGAAGTGTGGAAAGGAATGCAGCAACTGAAAGAAGCAGTACAAGACTGGAGAATGTGAAAAGAGCTGGCCCATAAAATTGGACACGATTGAATGGACTCCTCATCAGCAAATTGGAGATCATATACCTTATTTTCCCAAAGAGATATGGTTTAAATCAGTGGCCCCCAACCTTTTGGGCACCAGGGACTGTTATGTGGAGAAAAGTTTTTTACAGACCAGAAGGGACATGGCTTTGTGGGCTGCCTGTAGCCTGCAGCCCATGGATGGTGCTTTGCTTCCTTGTGCAGCCTGGTTTCTGTCATGCCGCGGCCCAGTGCCAGTCAACGGACTGGGGGTTGGGGACTCCTGGTGTAAATTAGCCATGAACTCTCCCTCCCCCCGTTTCTTAACAAAAATAATTATTTCAGTCTTGGGTTCTGCACTCTTCAACATTTTTCTTAATAATTTGATGGAGGGAGTGGAAAAATTTGCAGACAAAATAAAATTGGGCAGGACAGCTAATAAACCATCTTAAATTAGAGACATGGAATGGAAATAACGAAGTTTAATACATTCACATGCAAAGTTCTTCATGTAAGAAACAGAAATTCCGTGTATGAGAATAACTTGTGGATACTAGGCACGGTAATGGTAGTAATGGAAAAGATCTTGAAATAATAATAATTGGTTGCAAAGTGAATATGGCAGTGCAATGTAGTTGCAAAAGAAAATGCAATCTTAGGTTGCATCAATAGAAATATAGTCTCCAAATCATAGGAAACAACGCAGCAGAGTCAATATATTCTGTACTGGCAAGATTCCACTTGCATCAAATTTTAAGACGGATTTAAACATACTGAAACAAATTTGTTAAGAGTGAGAGGTAACAGCAACTAGAAAGATCCAGGGATTAAAAACTCTCAAAAATTCTACAAAGAGAGATGGAAATAACTGGGAATGTGTAGAAGAGACAGCAGAGGGAGGGGAGACCTCCGGACCTTGAAGAGATGTCATACAAGTCTATATACATACTCTGGTATAGTATATATGCACACATTCAGATTTGTTTTTTCATAATTCCAAAATGTAGAAAAAAATATGGTATCAAGCTATCAAGAAGGCACACTTCAGTTGAATGACAGGGGCAAAAAGCAATGAAATCAGCTATTGAAAGAAGTGGTGGACTGCCCTTCATGGGAAGAGTTAGGTGGAGACTAGACACCAGTAGTGGGTTGCTCCCGGTTCTGTCCAATTCTATAGAACCGGTAGTAAAACTGGTGGGAGGCTCTGCCCACCCACCATAACGTCATCATGGGTGATCTGCGCATGCACAGAAGCACGCGCGAGCAAAGCGAACCGGTAGTAAAGGCAAGTGGAACCCACCCCTGCAAGACACCCATCTGTCTGAAATGCTTATATTTGGATTCCTGTATCGAGAAGAAGAAAGTTGGATCTAATGCCTGAAGTTGCCCCTTCTATGATAACTCCTTGATGACATTTGCATGTTAATCCAAATGGTTTTCTTTTGGTTAAGAAACTTTTATGTTTTCTGGAGGCAACGCCAGAGCTTGACAAAATTTCGTATCACTTTTATCTATAGAGCAGCCTGTCAGGACTTGTGTGGTCTTTGTGAGAAGATTCGCAGTTTTTGTTTGTTTGTTCGTATTTCGTATTTCTTAATTTTTACAAGTAAGGAAAGGTTGTTTCCCTTCCAGTTGACAATTGACAACTGTGTATGTCAATTATTTATCTGCTTCACCTATTCCACAATTTTGACTGTATTTTTTTTTTAAAAAAAGAATCAACATTTCCTTTTTGTAATAATCTCACCACTAACAATTTTGCCAGTCTTAGAAAGAGAAAAAAAATGCTTAACTAAAATTGCCTTCTAACTGCCACTAGGGGGTGATGTTGCACTTTAAAGCTCCTCCTTAGAATCAATGTTGTGTTTTCTATATATACACACAGTACTGCAGTACAGAGTGTACCAATTGTGATCCTGTGCTCACAGTTTGTATGTTTAGATATTTACAGTGGTACTGCCCTCCTATGAGATATCATCAGCAGGTTTAGGAAAACATCGAGGGTACAGAAATGCAAAAATATTTAGATGGGAAAGAGACCTAAATCAGTCTAGATCAGGGGTGTCAAACTTGTGGCCTGTGGGCCGGATGTGTCATGTGCTGGCTCTGTCCCCCCGCCCGGATTAGCGAAGGGGGAAAAAGTCCTGATATGTCACGTGATGATGCAAGTTTGACATCCCTGGTCTAGATTTCGCCTATCCCAAATATGCCACTATGTTTGTGGTAAAATAGAGCCAATTTTGACTGCTTTCAAAATGCAGGGTTACACTTAATAAGGACTTGGACAGGAGGCCACCAGGAAATCTATGCTTCATTGGGAAGTTGAAAACAAAAATATGATAGTGGCATATCAGTTCTGTAGTGATACCAAATAATAACATGGACACACATTGACGCAGTGCCGGGAGTTAGAGATTTCCACACGTCTTCATGCTGCCAAGATTGAGAAACACTGCAAAACAGTTCTCTTTTCTGTATGAAAATAGGTATCCAGTGATAGGTTGCTACTGGTTCGCCCAAATCAAGCAAACTGGTAGCAGCAGGGGCGGCAGGCTCCGCCCACCCACTCAACCGCTTCTGTGTATGCACAGAAGCGTCACATGCGCGCACGCACACCCACGAGTGAACCGGTAGTGATGCATTTTGAAACCTGCCCCTGTAGGTACCCCTTCCTCTTTTTCTCTCCTCCAACCTCGTCTCTTATTATACGAGCTGAGGCTGATTTGGGAATAGATTCCCCTAAGAGTTTCATTTTTGTTCTAAGTTGCATCTTCCAAAGGGTCAGCCTCTCAGTCTGGAAATCGCATCAATCCAATAAGATCACTGCCCAGTCTGACAGGCAACTTCATCAGCTTCCCAAGGCACTTAAGAGGACTTCTCTGGTAAAACAGGACACGGCATTCTATTACATTGTAATAAAAGTGAGAAGAAAGTAAAAAAAATTAAAAGGAAAAGAAGGAAACTAGCAGAGGGAGCACAGAGGGTTTCCTTGAGGAGGGTGATTGATGGGAACAAAGAAAATAATACTTTTATCTGCTATACTCATCTATTTGGTTGACTGAGAATCAGCTTTCTTAATTTGAAACATTTTACTAGGATGTAATGGAAGACCAGGCTATTGTTACTTTAGGTTTAAAAAATGAAAAATATTGCAAGGCAAAATTGCAACCTACAACCTATTCTTTTCCTTGTCTTATATTGATTCCTTAGAAAATAAAAACAGTTCAGAGTAAGTTACAGAGATAAAACCATCCTGGCAAGGCCTAAGATTACAATTTGTCTCCTGATAAATGAGTCTTTCATGACCATCCATACCCATCACATTCCCCGGAAGACATGTAATATAGGTAATATAGGTAGTCTTCAACTTACAAACATTCATTTAGTGATCATTCAAAGTTACAACAGAACTGGAAAAAACAACTTATGAGCCGCAGTGACGCAGTGGTTAGAGTGCAGTACTGCAGGCTACTTCAGCTGCCTGCCGGCTGCCTGCAATTTGGCAGTCCAAATCCCACGAGCTCAAGGTTGACTCAGCCTTCCATCCTTCCGAGGTGGGTAAAATGAGGACCCGAATTGTTGGAGGCAATATGCTGACTCTGTAAACCACTTAGGGAGAGCTGTTAAGCACTGTGAAGTGGTATATAAGTCTAAGTGCTCTTGCTCTTGCTATTTTTCACACTTATGACCTGATTACATGGTCACGTGATCAGAATTTGGATGCTTGGCAACAGGTTCACATTTATGACACTTGCAAGTGTCCTGGGATCATGTGATCACTTTTTGTGACCTTCGTGCAAGCAAAGTCAATGAGCAAGTCAGATTCACTTAACAATCATGTTACTAACTTAACAACTGCAGTGATACGCTTAACAACCGTCATAAGAAAAGTCATAACATGGGGGCAAAATTCACTTAACAAATGTTTCACTTAGCAACATGAATGTTGGGCTCAATTGTGATTGTAAATCGAGGATTACCTGTACACTTGCCTACATTAATTACATCCTAAAGCCAGTTTGGTGTAGGGTTTAAGGCACCAGGCTAGAAAATTAGTAGTTCTCTCTCAGTCCTAGGAAGCAGACAAAGGCAAACCACTTCTGAACATCTTGTCAAATCAACTACAGGGACTTGTCCAGGTAGTCACCAGGAGTCAAGACTGGAAGGAACTCAACCCCCAGCCAAAAAGAACCCCTAGCCATCCCTACTCCGGAGATACCCTAAATTCCAACATAACACATTTATCACATTACCACATTATTTGTCATACTAGTTTTTCCTCTAGATCTGTCTGCTTGGCCGTATTTACTATGACTGTCTGCTGAGTTCTTGTATCAGAAGCCAAACACCAAGACTTCCAGAGTCAACCAACAGATGCAGCTACCGAGTGGTCCTTACGGTAAATCCAATGCCGACAGTCGCAGAGAAAGAGCCGGGGATGAATTTGCCCTGGTCAAACTGGACCAACAGTGACGTCTTCCCCACTCCGCTGTCTCCCACCAGGATGGTCTGCAGAAAATAAGACAGAAAACCAGATTAGCATTTGGGGAGGAATAATGAGCCAAATGAAAACTGGCGATGTTCCACCTGCTATATTATGCCCACTAGCCAAATCATCTCTGTTTCAGCAGGGAAACACGGACATGGATTTGAAACAGAATAACTAAGTTGGAAGGGACCTTGGAGGTCTTCTAGTCCAACCCTCTGCTCAGGCAGGAAACCTTATACCATTTCAGACAAATGATTGTCCAATCTCTTCTTTAAAAACCTCCAGTGTGGGAGCATCCACAACTTCTTGAGACAATTTGTTCCACTGATTAATTGTTCTAACTGTCAGAAAATTTCTCCTTATTTCTAGGTTGAGTCTGTCTTTGATTAGTTTCTATCTATTGCTTCCTGTTCTGCCTTCTGGTGGTTTGGAGAATAGATCAATCCCCTCTTCTATGTGGCAGCCTCTTAGATATTAGAAATGAATCAGTAGTGCATTTCAATTTAGTTTGCTACCTGTTTGCTTTTGTGTGTGTGTGTGTGTGTGTGTGTGTGTGTGTGTGTGCGTGCGTGCACGCGCAACACTTCTGTGCATGCGCAGAAGCGACTGGGCAGGTAGGCGGAGCCTCCTGGTGCTGCCGCTACCTGTTCACTCGATCCGGGGCGAACTGGTAGCAACCCACCACTGAAATGAATGATAGAGCAACTTAGGTTTCATTAGACACTGAATTAAAAATCATGCTCACATTTTTCAAGAGTCAGTTTGTCTTCATTGCTCAGTAGCTCCTGAACCTAAAGACAGGGGTGTCCAACCTTGGCAACCTTTAAGACTTGTGGACTTCAACTCCCAGAATTCCCCAGCCAGCCATGCTGGGATCTCCCTCCTATCTTGAAAGTTTTCAACTAAAATCTTTTAGTCAAGGACAGATTAAAACCAATGGATGCCCAAAGCACAGGCCAACAAGAGTGCCCCTTAGCCTTTCCGTTATTTCACTGAATCAGCATCAATAAATGCTGAAGGTAAAATAAGAGATTAAAAATTAAAGCTTTCTTCCAAGCTATTCCCTAGACTGGATCCTGTAAGTATATTAAATATAAACTTTAAAAAATAATACTAAATATAGTAACCAAAATAAGAAATTTATTTGTTTATAACTAGGGCATAGGGGGAAAAATTCCAATTTTTCAACACTTTTGAATGTCTGCTGAAATTACAGTGTTATATAAGGGGTGGGGGAATGCAAATATGAAAATATACTGAAAACTAAAGTTGAGTGGGGCAGTGAAAGAGCTAAGGCAGGGGTATCAAACTGGCATGGGCCAGATGCATCATGCACAGGCCACGCCCACCCCAGCTCCGCAAATGGGAAAAACATCACGAAACGTCACGTGATGGCAATGTGACGCTACAAGTTTGACACCCGTGAGCTAAGGGCATGATAACTAGGGGGAAAAAACTTTGGTGCTTCCCTTTCCTTGGTGAACTGATCCTGGGTTTAATTTGTCTAATGGTTAATCCAGGTCTGCTTCTGCTGATCCATTCAGAATTAGCCAGCTCTACATACATTATATTCAGAATCAAGGTAAGAGGTCCAATGTCAGAAAAAAGAGAGTCTGGAGCTAGAATGCTACAACTACTTTAGATGTTTTGTCTTGTTTTGTTTTGTTTTAAAGACCAACAGTTGTTATGGGGATAATAATCAATAATTTATACTTTGGTAATATTTTCATTGCAAACAATCAACATGATGCTACAGAGCTGCAGTTTGTTTTTCTTAGTTCACCTGAAAATGTTATCAGGTCAGGTGGCAGAAAGTGATTTGGTTAAAAAAAAAAAAAGTGCTGGAGACCTTGAAAGTTAGCAAAGCGAATCGTTTTGGTTGACCCTAATAAAGATAATAACCAACAATAAATCTACTTTACTCAGCCACAGATCAATGGAGTATAAATTATTGAAATATGTATCCATCTTTAAAGCAAGAAGGGGCTGTTTGGCAGTAACAGTTCGAATTCCAGCAACTGAAAAGTTTACAGTGAATTAATTATGAATGTAGACTTTGTTGGAAAATTATTATGGGTTATTCTCAGTTGGTTTGTACCCAGCAGCCTCCTAGTCAGTCCCTTTATCCAGATCAGAGCAAGCACACACATCGCTCGGCTCAGCCAACAAAAATATGTTTATTTATTAAACATCCATATATATGTTGTTTTTTAAAAAAAACTGGCAAAAAAGGATAAAAGGCAGGCAAAAACAGAGAGAGAGAGAAAAGGGAGAGAAGCCTGAACAATGGGCAAGAATTTATGTTAGATGTTTATATCAAAAGGCGCAGAATTTTCCAGAGGCGCTGGAAACAATGGGATGATTAATTAGTAGAGAAAATCTCAAAGGGGGGATTCTTTGATTAGTCCAGCTTTAATCTTTTTATGCATACGCAGCAGCAGAATAGAGATGGAAAGTAGGACACCAAGTTTATTCTGCACGTTAAAGGGAATATTTTGATGGATGGGGATGATGCATTCAGCACATTAGTGACGGTTCTCAATGTTTGTGTGTGTGGGACGGGGGGAGGTTATCATAGATTTTTGCCAACTCATAAAAGCATATGCCTTTTAATAAAATGTGCTAGTTGAGTGTAAGTCCACCAATCGATTTCTCTGTTTAGGTCTGTTTCCAACTGTTGTTTTGATTTCAATTTTCCTTGTTGTTCAATTAAGTCTTTGTATCTAATTACTTTTTTAAGTTCTGTTAAATTTGGATGTCTTACTGCTTCTAGTGGTGAAAGCCAGATAGGTATTTTCGTATAATGCTGGTTTTTTTAATTTTTAACCAATTTTTTTATTTATTTTTATATGCTGCCCTTCTCCGGAGACTCAGGGCGGCTTACAATGCATTAACCAATAGCCTTCATACTTTTGTATATTTTATACAAAGTCAGCTTATTGCCCCCACAAACCGGGTCCTCATTTTACCCACCTTAGAAAGGATGGAAGGCTGAGTCGACCTTGAGCCTGGTAAGAATTGAACTCACAGTAATTGCAGGCAGCTGGATGTTAAATGCTGCCTTAGTAGGAGGCATTAGCCTCCTACGCCACTCAGGCTCAATTTACAATAATGCATTTGTTATTGTGTGTCTTTTAAAATAGATATGTGTTTTGTGTCTTTCATCCCAGAGGAAAGTGTTAAGTTGGGTGAATGAGGACACAGCAAGTCAGCCAGAAGTCACTTGGGGTGGATATTAGCATACGTAGTCCCACAGGTGACCAGGGCATGTCCGCACCCTAGTTGACCTGCGCAGTTCAGTCAGAGAGGTGGCGTTGAGCGGGTCGGAGGGACTCCCTGTTTCTCCCTGCTCCGCCAATGGAACCTTCAGGACTTAGTTGTGGGTGGCAACTTCTTCGGCGATGGGGCAGCAATGGATCTTGGGGCCGACAGCTAAGTCCTCCACTTGAATCGGGCTTGAGTTAGCCCTGGAGTTCTGTTGGTAGTTAGGGAGCGGTTTGTCAAAGATGTCTTCTGTGTCGGCGGCTAATCGCTTCCGTAACTGATCGATGTGCCAGCACCAAATCCTCCCATCTCCCATGTCTACCCTATAAGACTTGGGCCCGGTTACCTCCGTAATTGTCCTGGTTTCCCAGAGGGGCCCATTCCGTAATTTGTGTATACCGGAGTCCCTATAGTGAACTCTCTAAGCTTCCTGTCGGTCCTCCTGAGGGGAATAGCTGGGGTGTAGCCTGTCCAGGACTCCTTGGAGCTTTCTCCCCATTAGAAGTTCCACCGGGCTTCGGCCTGTGGCGGCATGGTGTGGCGTGTTGGGCTGTTAAGAATCTGTCTATTCTTTCTTGCCAGTCCCTGGGGCCTAGATGTGAGATGGCTTCCTTAGCCATTCTCACAAATCTCTCCGCCAATCCATTGCTAGCCGGATGAAACAGGGCGGAGAGTACGTGCCTGATCCCCAGCTCTGCCAAGTACCCCTCAAACTGCGTGGCCGTGAACTGGGGCCCGTTGTCTGAGACTAAGGTGTCCGGTAGGCCATGGGTGGCGAACAACTGCCTTAGCTCCCTAATGACAGCGTCAGTGGTAGTGGCTTTCATAAATCTAATCTCCAGCCACTTTGAGAAGGCGTCCACGACGACCATAAATACCTGCCCATGGCATGGGCCAGCAAAATCAATATGGATCCTGGACCAGGGACCCTGAGGCCGCTCCCATTCCCTTACCGGTGCTGTGGGGGGGGTCTGGCCTAGACTCTTGGCAAGGCTGGCACTTCCCCACCCACTCAGTGATGTCCTTATCCATTTGGGGCCACCAAACATAGCTCCTGGCTAACCCCTTCATCCTCACGATCCCAGGGTGCCCCTCATGCAACAGTTTCAAAACTTTTTCCCTTAGGCACAAGGAAACAATGACCTGATCGCCCCATAATAGACAACCCCTTTGCATTGTCAGCTTGCCTCTTTTGTTAGCGAAGTGTTTGAATTCCCTGCCCTCAGTCTTTTCTGGCCACTCCCTCATCACCCAACTCGTGATTTTCCTAAGTACGTGGTCTTTGGTTGAAGCCCTCGCCACCTCTGCTGAAGTGATGGGTCCCAAGTTCAAGACGTCAATCAGCAGGACTGGGGTTCCGGGTGTGGGGTCTTCTATCCTGTCCGGTAATGGGCAACGGCTGAGGGCATCGGTGTTGCCCATGCTCACCCCTGGTTGATGTACCAGGCGATAGGAGTAAGCTGCCAGGAAGATGGCCCAGCGTGTCATCCTGGGAGACAGGGCTGCCGGGGTGAGTCAGTCCCCTGCTATGAGACCCAGAAGGGGGCGATGGTCCGTGATGAGGTCGAAGTCTCTGTTGAACATGTACTCATGTAACTTCTTGACTCCGGAGACAGCTGCAAGGGCCTCCTTGTCAAGTTGACTGTAGTTCAGTTCGGCGCTTGAAAGAGTCCAGGAGTAGTAACTGATAGGTGCCTCTAGACCTTTTGGTAGTCTATGGCTCAGGACGGCCCCCATGCCGAATGGGGACACATCA